TATCACAATTCAACACACGCTTTTTAACAAAATGTTTTGAGTGCTTCTGAAATAATGTTCCATTGGACCAGAAATTCACAAACAATTCCATTCGCTAATAGAAAAATGATAAGAGACATTAAACCTTGCTTTTCATAACAAAGAGTTCTCGTCTTGTCTTCAAAATCAGCTCTCATTATGAATTCATCCATAAAGGTTTTCTTTTCAAGTTTTTTTGCTACTATATAAGTATCTAAGTGCAGATCAGCCAATCCGTGTAGGTAGCAGAGCAAAAAGAGGCTTGACTTACATGTGGCTGTTTCTGAAACCAAAATCACAGTAAGATAGCCAAACTTTCTGGAAGTAAATTAGGACTTTGCTTGAGGGCTTCAACAAGAGAAGAAATTCCTTGCGTATAAGAAGATGAATCGAATAGAATGCGCCATTTTGTTTCTCCATTTCCTTTTTTTGCTTTCGAACTGCATGATAAAGAAGAGAGCGATATTTAGAGATGGGCACTAATTTGTTTCTTCCGTCCTTGCTGTAGAGCGCTTTTTTTTTTCAGTGCCCGGGGGTACTCTGCAGTTCCTCCGTATTTGGAACTTCAGCAACACCGTTCAAGCACCTTTATGGTAGGTTTGTTGCTACTCCTACCCCATTTCAAGGCATTGATTTGTCTGGTTAATTCTTCAGTCTTATTTTCCTTGGCCTGGAGTTTTCTGCAGTTCCTTTGTACCTGGCCTCCAGTACCGCAGTTCCAACACTTTAGAGTCGGTTTGTTGCTACTTTTGTGGCCTGACTTGCTTGACTTTGATTGACTTGCTTTGTTAAATCGTCTAGACAAGCAGTCATTTGATCCTCTGGCTCTTGGACTTCAGGAGCTCTGACTGGGTGTCGGTCTCTACGAATTGCTTGTTGGGATGCCTCGATTTTTATGGAGTACGCTAGAGTGTTAGTACAATAGAGATATTTGCAAGATTTTCTGTATTTCAGCATGCCTGATGACATCAATGAAGTACTGCAGGTACAAGATTGTCCTTATTTCTGTCAGGCATTCCAAAAAGGCGAGATGAGACAGCCTTTCGACATCCATGGGAAGTATCTGGAGTGTATCCGGTGGCTTCTGCTGACGAATTTTAATTGAAGTATACTATAGTCATTTAAGCACTTCTCTCCAAAGCACAGCTCCAATGCAAGAGTCTAGCCTCTGGTTTTCGGGAAGAGTTTGAGAGATGTCAGCTGCGTTTGTTCTCAGAGAAGCGGTGACCTGACAGGTCTTAGCTTGGGAAACCCATCCATTCGCGTCCACCACTATACAAAATTGTGTCTTTACACTTGCCAGAAGATCTCACAATTATACACTGACTTCCAATAAGTATTAGGACACCTATGCAAATGACGGTATCTGCGGTCCTAAGGTACGTCACGGACTCCGCCGGTATATATCGTGTAGGAAACAGCATCGGCTTTAGTCGCATGCAAGATACCTCGCAGTTCGGAACTCTCTGATTTCGAGAAAGGTATAATTATCGGGGTATCACAAATGTAGCCGATCCTTAAGGGACATATATAGCGATCTGAAGTACCGAAAATCGACAATGGCCTATGTAATTAAGAAGTGGAAGTTGAGCGGTGATTGTCGGAATGTGCCCCGAGTCGGCAGACCAACGAAACTGGGAGATAGAGACCGACGAGTGCTGTCCAGAAAAATTCGGAAGAACCGCACCCAACCGATGGCCCTCATCCGCGAGGAGTTTCAACAGGCATCCGGGAGTATTGTTTCAATGAATACCATCCGAAAGGAAGCACATCTGCTTGGTTTTCATGGTCGTGTTTCTGCCCATAAGCCTTTGATCGCAAAGTCCAACCGCGCTGCTCGGTTAATGTGGTGCAAAGCACATCGAAATTGGACTGTAGATCAGTGGAAACGGGTCTTGTGAGTGACGAATCAAGGTTCACCCTTTACCGTTCGGATGGCAGGGTCTGGGTCTGGCGTCTACCTGGAGAACGTCTCCTGCCAGAATGCATTGTGCCAACAGTCAAATTCGGCGGAGATGGAATTATGGTCTGGGGGTCTTTCTCCTGGTATGGGCTAAGACCCTTGGTCCCCATTCATGGTAAGCTCAACACCGATGCCTACTGCACTATTTTAGATGACAATGTGCTTCTTACGTTGTGGCAGTTTTACGGCTTGGACCCCTGTTACTTTCAGGACGACAATGCCAGTTGTCATGTTTCGGCGTTAACCAAGGCTTGGTATGGTGCAAATGGAGTTCATCGAATGGACTGGCCTGCCCAGAGTCCAGACCTGAACCCTATCGAGAACCTCTGGGACGAGTTGCATCGCCGAATTCAGGGGTGCACTACCCGTGCAAAATCGGTGAAGGAACTTCTATGTCTTCTTTAAGCCGAGTGGAAGAAAATACCACTAGCTGTCATACAAAAACTTGTGGAAAGTATGCCCCGGAGGGTCCACGCTGTAATTACCTCTCGTGGAGGTTCTACCAACTATTGATTTTGAACATAGTTTTTCTTTTCTATCACAGATGTCCAAATACTCATTGGTAGTCAGTGTATGTGGATAGCTTTAGAAAGGGATTGTTCGGTAGACGTCTTGGATGTTGCTTGATTGGTGGATGATCATCGGTATCGATTCTGTGTTGCGTCAAACTGGTTCGTCACACGTCAGAAAACGAGCGCGAGAAAAGATCTTGAAGGTCTTGACTGACACGTTCAGCAATATTCCTCTCTTCATCGTTTAATTGCGCATTTTGCAATAACTCTGATATAATTGTCTCTGAAGCCATGGATTCTAGAGTGTTAATGTTTCGTTTAAACTCTTAAGGACCAGCGTCGGGAGAACGAAGCGCGGTCACGGGACCGGACCCGCTGAAATGGATCGTCGCCACCGGCCCGCACATTTTCAGTAGTTAAGCCTAATTTTACAAATAAAATCGTATAAAATCAGCATGTTGATATCATGACCTCAATTTGTGAAGTTGCGTATTTAATGTACTTGTTTTTAATGTGTATTAATATAAAGAATATCACATTAATAGAAATAAACTAAACAAGCAAAATACTAAAATCATTACTATATACACATAGAAATAAGTACTATAAACATGAAAAAAAATTACAAATAAGAAATTTAGGAAAAAACTAAACAAGAATTACCTGTAGGTAATTAAATTCCAATTTAAAAATTCTGCTATGTGTAAAATAATTCAAAACAAGGATCGACACACAGTCCTATATTACATATTTCGCACTCAAAATACGTTGTTTGCTTTCGCGTTTCCTTGCTTTCAGCGCACACAATGCATCTTCACCTACTTTTATTACCTTCTCCGTCAACGTAAATTTTCGGAAACTGTCTTCCAGTTTGACAGAAAGGTGGATTGTCCGGTGATTTTGAACAAATTTTTAAGTTTTTAAGTAAGGTCTCTTAGCTATGGCTAACGGAATGAAACTGAATATAACCCAACACATATCCCGAAACTTCTTCAAAAGACACTCAGAAATATTTCATCCTCAAAGCCTGTGTGACATCAGGTTTATATTAAAAAACTCCCTGTTTTTCTAAATCGAAAACAGCGTCCACGATTGACCAGGAAAGTGATCAAGGAAAAGACCCCCACTGGCGGGATAACCATTACTGATCACTTCAATAATCATTATATTTATATATACATTATATGTAAAGTAAATACATTATATCCCAAATATAATGCGTGTGTCATTATATATAATGACCATTCATGCCGCGTAAGAAAAACAAAAACGCTGGGTCTTTTCTGAGAAATGTGAACAAGACGCATTTACGCGTCGAGAAAGCTGATTGACTTTCCCCTTCTGTAATAATGTTGTAATATTACTTTTTAATTAACCAAGAAAGCTTATGTTAAGATTCAAAATAAATAGAAAAACAAAACAAAAAATAATAACGAAATAAAGAAAAACGCCTGTGGCCCTTTAATTCACAGGCGCGCTTATTTCCAGTTTGTTTATTTCAATAAATCTCTCAAAACCAGAAGCACAAAACAGAAACTAATGCCAGTACATGAAGGTCAAATGTCGTATGATTCAAAATATGTGAAAATAATTACCACTTAGCTCCATTTATTGGATTTTAAAAATTCAAATAAATCGTTCCGTTTTAATGTTGCGTATACGCGACGCTGGGCTCGTTGGAGCAGAATCGTAGCGTCGCGTATACGGCATGCTGGGCTGGTAGGATTGGAATCGCATTTCTGACACCAAAAGGTTTTGCGTGCGTACCGGTACGTAATACATCAAATGCCCAAGTCTGACAAAAGGTTAATAAAATTTATTGTTTTCAAAAGAAATACCGAAATGGCTGGAATTTTCACTCAGATATATCAGTACAAATACTCCCATTATCACGCAACGTAATCAGTAATTATACTTTAAACTACGAAAAACGTTATAACACAACGCAATGCAAAGAGAACGCTAATCTGATCTGAACTCGCAAAAAAATAAAACCAGTACCTAACTAAACAACGACAACTGAGCTGAGATGTTTCTCTCCGGGCTTTTTTAAAGATTTCAATATGTTGCGAGAGATATTAAATGCACGTGCTCTTGTATTTTTAATTTTACAACGTAGCTTTCTCCTAAAATATATGTTGTGCTGCATTGCAAAGAAAAATAAAGTAATTTTTATTGTAATTCTATTTAAAATATCTAACTAAATACGAATATAACATGTTTAATAAAAGAGAACATGTTTTTAATTACTGGGCAGTATGGTATTTGCATTGCTTATTTAACGTGCAACAAATGAAAATTTTGAGAAATATTCCAGGATATTTTCTTCAAAAACATAAGTAAAAATGTTTACTTTAGAACCAGAAATACGTTTTAATATCTCGTCTTAGACTGCTAGACGTATTCAATAAATGCATATTTCTATTTACTTGAAAAATTTTTAGTTCTCGATTAATTCATAATATTTCCAGAAATTATTTGCAAAAATATATTGTGATTTTTATTACCTAGATGTCCATAGCCAGGATAACCTAAATATCCATGAGTGCCTAAAGCTTTCGCGGCTGCAGCAGCAGAGGCACCTGTAAAGTTATAGTAGAAATACAGTTAAAGTAGAGAATGCATTGTCACAAAACAAAGCTATTGAATGCTAAGACTTTTTTCAGTCAATTAGAAATGTTTAATATATTATCTGACTCTATTTCTGGAAAATCACTAATAGTATTATAGGGTTTTCCTTATTTTGCATAACACATTTATTTTAAGTTTGATTACCTGTTCCAAACTTCTCACATTCTCTCACCAGGATGTAAATTGAAAGTTAAGTGAAGTGCTGTTTAAACGGGTGAATATCTCAGTTTATAAAGAGCGTGTTTTGCAAGCCAAGCGCCCGTTTCGTTGTTACTTCGCGGTCACACTATTAAGCCTCTAGGCCTTATCAGATTAGTATCACGCCGGTTAAATTCCTGCGAATCCACCTCTTAAGCGTAAACTTCAGTACGCTCTTGCCCTATTTATTCCAGTTTTGACTTGTATGATATTCTACATTTTAGTTTCCACCGCAAGTGGACGTTGTTTTTATAACGCACGAAGTCTGTATATATATTCTCTCTAGAAAATGTTAATCGAAAGTATAGATATAACCAACACACAATTCGTTGAATAAACTTAATTTCACTGCAAATATTTATCCATTTTAAATGAAGAAAATATACCTATTTAATATTAACTATGAAAACTTTAGTTCCCAATTAATTCACAACATAGGAAGAAATATTTGCGAGAATATTTTGTGATTTTTTTTTCATTACCTAGATGTCCATAGCCAGGATAACCTAAATATCCATGAGTGCCTAAAGCTTTCGCGGCTGCAGCAGCAGAAGCACCTGTAAAGTTATAGTAGAAATATAATTGAAGTAGAGAATGTATAGTCACAAGATAAATCTATAAATTGCTAAGACTAATTTCTTGACAGAACGCGTCGGACGAATTCTGTACAAATAAATTCCAATTTGAATTGACGAATAGGAGAAACGTATTGTTTATGTGATGAAAAAATACGACATTTTACTAACTTGTCACAAAACAAAGCTATTGAATGCTAAGACTCTTTTCAGTCAATTAGAAATGTTTAATATATTATCTGACTCTATTTCTGGAAAATTACTAATAGTATTATAGGGTTTTCCTTATTTTGCATAACACATTTATTTTAAGTTTGATTACCTGTTCCAAACTTCTCACATTCTCTCCCCAACGGGTGAATATCTCAGTTTATAAAGAGCGTGTTTTGCAAGCCAAGCGCCCGTTTCGTTGTTACTTCGCGGTCACGCTATTAAGCCTCTAGGCCTTATCAGATTAGTATCACGCCGGTTAAATTCCTCCGAATCCACCTCTTAAGCGTAAACTTCAGTACGCTGTTGCCCTATTTATTCCAGTTTTGACTTGTATGATATTCTACGTTTTAGTTTCCACCGCAAGTGGACGTTGTTTTGATAACGCACGAAGTCCATGCCTTTCTGTTAAATTAGTTTGAATTAATAAAGGGTTATTTTCACCCTTCTTCTGTGCTGGTAATTAATTCCCGCCTGTGCGAGAATTCGCCAGGTTCAGTCGGGCAAGTTCTATACGAAAACATCTTTAATTAGATTGTTTAATAAATTCGATGCATTCTTTATTCATCGGAAAACTTTTACTTTAAAGAAAGTTTCCGGAAGGTGTGTGTGTGTGTGATTATGGCAAAGCCTCGAGGGCTATCTGCCTAAGGTGAGGGATGCCTTCGTGGAGGACTTTCTAAGGGAAACTGGCTCGTATACACGTTACACATGGGGAAAACCACGAAAACGCCCATGCAGCCAGCCCGTTCTCGTGATTCGAACCTCGGACCGAACTACCAGTGTTCAGCGACTTTACCGCTCGGCCGCTGGTGGGCCCGTTTCCGGAATTAATTTTTCAAAGATATTTCTTAGAAAGTGCTGTTTATGCGAAATTAGGTTTAGTACCTCTGCTTAATCTATCAGAAATATTTAGTCAATTCTTTGTGAGTGCTTATTCGAGATTCGCGAAATATATCTAAAAGATTTACAGGAAATAGTTTTTTACTTATCGATTACATCGAGATAAATAGATTTCATGGCTAGCACAATATGAAAATTCTGAGAAATATTCCAGGATATTTCTTCAAAAACATAAGTTACAATCTACCCTTTAGAATCAGAAATCGGTTTTTATAGCTCGCTTTAGAAAGCTAAAACTATTGAATAAATGCATATTTATATTTTCTTGAATAATCTTTAGTTCCCAATTAATTCATAACATTGGAAGAACATATTTGCTTGCAAAAATATATTGTGACCTTTTTTTATTACCTAGATGTCCATAGCCAGGATGACCTAAATATCCATGAATGCCTAAACCTTTCGCGGCTGCAGCAGCAGAGGCACCTGTAAAGTTATAGTAGAAATGTAGTTGAAGTAGAGAATATATCGTCACAATACAAAGCTTTTGATTGCTAAGACTAATTTCATTCTATGAACAGGTCATATTTACGCTGATAAGCCATATCGGACGAATTGTGTACGAATAAATTTGAAACTAAATTGACGAATAGGAGTAATGCATTGTTTATGCGTCAAAAAATGAGACATTTTACTAAATTTCCGAGATGATGTTTCAAGCTTAAATGGAATTTGTACATCTTCTTAGTCAATGAGAAATATTTAATGGATTATTTAAGTATGGCAAAGCACACGAGGGCTATCTGCTTTAAAGGAGAGATGCCTTCGTGAAGGACGTTCTAAGGGAAACTGGCTAGTATACACATCACACATGGGGAAAACCACGAAACCGCCCATGCAGCTAGCCCGTTCGCGAGATTCGAATCTTGGACCGAACTACCATTGTTCAGCGTCTTTACCGCTTGGCCGCTGAGAAATATATAATCAATTATATTACTCTATTTCTGG